TAACCAATGTCATAGAACAATATGTGTACTGACTGTTTAATGAGAAACTATCGGTTCTGTAAACCTTTATCTAAAGTACAATAAAAAAAAATTAAAAAACTTTGTACAAGGATGTCCATATCAGCATTTTTCTTAATAGGCAAAAATTGGAAGCAACCCAAATGTCTTTCAACTGCTGAATGGATAAACAAAATGTGGTATGTCTATAAAAAGAAAAATTATTCAGTCATAAAAAAGAAATGAAATACTAATACATACTCCAACACAGATTAACCTTTAAAATATTAAGCTAGGTGAAGACTCCAGACGCAAAAGATCACGTACTGTATGATTCCATTTATATGAAATGTCCAGAATAGGAGAATTCATAGAGCATCATAAAGTAAATTAATTTTTCCAGGAATTGGAGGGAGGGGAGAATTGTGACTGCTAATAGGTCTGGGGTTTCTTACTGGGGACATAGAATTGTTATAGAATTAGATAGTCAATATACAAGAAAAACCCACTGAATTGTACACTGTAAAATGGTGAATTTTGTGTTATGTAAATTACATCTCAATTTTAAAAAAAGGAAAAAATGACAATGATAACCACTAAAGAAGAATAGGCTGCTGTGAAAACAGTATTCAGCAGGTAAGAAACTCTTTTTGAAATTAAAAACATGATTGATGAAAGAAAGTTAAGAATTCAATTATAGGAAAGAACAATTTATTGACACAAATGATAAAGTTTAAAAAATATATATATGTAGCAAAAATAATGAACAGAGAAATATAATAAGATGTTTTCTAAAGTCACTAAATCAAGAAATAGGAGTTAAAGTCATAAAGGCATCAACTAGATGTACTAAAAATAATAGTATGGCCAACTGTAATGGGGACAGTAAGGGAATTGGGAGGAAGCTTCTAGGTACACTAAGTAAGTTTAATTTCTCATCCTACGTTGTGGGGAGTTGGTAGATACTGTCTGAAATGTATAAATCAAGAAGTGAAAGCATAGTAAGTAAATCATACAAAATTAATTGTTGTTGTTAGTTGCCTTTGAAGTTGGCTCCAACACACGGCAACCTTATGAATAATAATTCAGTGATTCAGCACTACCTCATACAATACCGTGTAAAAACAGTAATTGTGGCACACACTTTTTTTTTTTCAAACTCTTAAATAGAGCCCTGCTGGGTGGCAGCAAGTACTGTCAGTGAGACAGTAGCTTCCCAGTGACCGCAGAGGTACAAAAATAAGTGGTATCTGTATATAGTGGTGGTCCCAAAAGGTTTTAAATAATTGCTAAGGGTCAGTGCAAAGTTAAGAACTTTACAGGTATTATCTCATTTGATCCTCATAACAATCCTATGAGATAGATATTATTTTCCCTATTCTACATATGAGAATACAGAAGCATCAAGAGTCTAAGTAGAGCACCTCAAATCATACAACCAGTAAGACATCAAACTGGATGCAAACGTAGTTGTATTTTAATTCCAAAGACTTTGTGTTTGCTTTCTGTTTCTGCCCTCCCTTGAATTGTACAGTACACAGGGTGGGCACTGGCCCTTCTGAGCTTGGCACTTTCATTCCTTTTGCATTTACACCTCAGAGAGCCCGCCCACTCTCAGAACTCTATGAAAAGTTCCCCAAGAGAAAATGCCAGACTTTCCTGCAGGGTTCTCTGCTGACACCATTGAAGCAATTAAAGGGAGACCACAGTGCTATGAATTCTACCTTCTCCTTATGTCTTCTCAGCACACCTGTTACATAGAGAAGAGCCTGAGTCGTACATACAGCCAACATTTAAAACTATAATCCCTGGTGGCTCAGCAGTTACGCGTTTGACTGCTAACCTAGCAGTCTGAATCCACCAGCCGCTCCTTGGAAACCCTACGGGGCAGTTCTATTCTGACCTATACTGTCACTATGAGTCAGAATCGACTTGACAACAGTGGTCTTTTTTTTTTTTTTTTTTAAATATAGAATCATTGAGTACAATCAATACATAGTCTCAACCACAAATTTAAAACCTGGGTGGATGAGGGAGAAGGGTGGAGGAACATACTTAAGTAAATGTATAAACCTGCAAGTTGAGGACATACAGAATTCCTTAACTGCTTGCCCTAGGAAAATGAGCTTACTCTCAGCCTCTGGACTTTGAAGAAACCTATCCTGATGGTTCAGAGCACAACTCCCAGATTTAAAGAGAAGTGACTGTTTACAGAGCCCCCCAATAATCCTAACCTAACCAGTATCATTCATTTGGCTCCATATCCTGAAATCTTTGTAAGCTTGTCCTCCTGCATCATACACCAGATCGTTCACTTGTCTTCCAGTTCTGCTCTTAATCAGAGTGACCCTAATTTTCTTACTCCCTGTCTGTGAACAACAGGATACTAATAAGCAGCAGAACAATTAAAACTTTAGGACTGAATAAAAAAAGGTTGAAAATGACTCCAAGCTTTTGACTCTGGAAGAATTGGAGGGCTGAGATGCCCTCCTCCCTTCCGATGGGTTACAGTTGTAAAGACTGTATACCCTGAATTTTTTAGGATATATCTTATTTGCAATTTTGAATATTCTTTCTTTTTTTTAAAATGCTTTTTAAATATTCAGGAAATCTCAAATTTAACCATAGCTCAAAAACTCTTTCCTTCAGAAGTAGTAAAAAATATCATTTTGTAAGAGCAAGTCCCAATTTTTTGATTTAAAGTATGATTAATGCGGCCTTCTGTATTCAAGACTTTTGTCCTGCAAATTTATAGTTTTCTCCCACTCTGACTTCAGGCTGAGACATGTGACTTGCTTTTGGCCACCAGTTTGTTACAGAGTTGATGCAAGCAAAGGCTTGAAAATACATTTTACATTTCCATTTCCTCCCTTGCTTTTCTTTAATTGCCATGAGAACATGCCCTGGCTAGCCTGCTTCTGCTGGACAAAATATGTTCTGCCAGCTCCAGCCTGCCACTTCAGGGTTCTTGCCTTCCTTTTTTTCCATTTGTATAAATGTCCTTCTCGGGCAGTGAGTGCTTAATCCCCCCTGTAAGTATGCCATCTCCAGACCACGCAGGACGCCTCCGCAGCACTACCTCCTCAGACCGGCACTGCTGCTTCCTCTGCCCCTGGCCCTAACCGATTATCTGGACGTGACTTCTGCCTCTTCAGCCCTACTAACCCCTGACAGCCTCCTCAGCCTGCTACCTCCTCACCGCCTCAGGCCAGGCCACTGCCTCCAAGGACAGGGAAATAGAAACCTCAATAAACTTCTTTTTCTCCACTAAATTTTCCCTTTTTTAATATTGTTCATATTTCCAAATAATTTTTGCTGATGCTGTGCATATGTAACATATAGAGTAACAACAACACATGTATGTGTGTGTATATATATATATATATACACACACATATATTTACACACACACATATGTACATATATCTCCACCAAATTGGAGTGTTTAAAAAAAATCTGATTTTTAAATTATTTTAATTTATTACATGCATTCTTTTTCTTTGTGTATTTTTTTTAATTGTGGTGAAAATATACATAACAAAACATATGGCATCTCAACAATTTCTACATGTATAATTCAGTGACGAATAAACTTCTGATTAAAATGATTTATTTGATAGATTGTAACTCACCAGAGACCCTCACTTCACTTCTCAGTTACCAGAGGCAACAGAAGGGAGGAAGGATTGTTAAACCTTATAATGAAGCTCTGGTTTGCATGTCACCGTTACTGGTGATCCTCTTCTCCAAGGATCGAATCTGCTCCTTGATACACACGAAATCTGAATTCCGGTACTCATATGAAATATTCAACAGCAGCAGTCATATCATAAAACAGAACTATTTGTCTAATGTCTACCATATTCCAAGGATACAAAGAATTTTTAAACCAATGAAATACATACCATTCCACAACCATCTATTCTGTCACAGTATCGAATTATGAAAATGCCTATTTACGTACCCTATATTGACCTTTTTAGCGGTAATTTTGTCAGCTGTTCACTTGATCCAGTTCCTTCCAGCTCTCCAGTTTGCCAAATGGTTACCAATAGCTCCTTCATTTTTACTTTACGTTTTCCAGCCACAGTTGTTGGTGACTGATTTCTGAGCCATGTTGCCACTGAAGAGTTAGGACTTTGGCCAAGTGGAAATGATGCATTGGTGCATGACTTTAATTGTTCTCAATTTCTCTTAACTTACTGGACTATGTAATTCCTGAGTACCTAAAGCACTTTGAAATTTTTTACGTATTGTTAAAAATAAACAAGGTTATATGTATTTTTTTAAAAATAAATGTCAAAATAGCAACTTTCTACTAATACTGCATTTGAAACTTCTCTGAACTCTGACTTGATAGTCCTAGTCCTTACAGGGCCCTTTAATCAAGTTGTGAGGGTGTGTAGGGGTGTGTGTGTGTGTGTGTGTTTGTGTGTGTGTGTGCATGTGTGTGTGTGTGTGTAGGTATGTATCCATATACACATAAGTGCATGGTTTCTCCAAGTTCTTCTATCCTTGTTCTACTGCTGTCCACATTTTGCCTTAGATTATACATCATATCATCCTTCTTTCCATCCACTCAAGGCCTGCGGACTTTCTGAACAATATTAATTCTGCAGCTCCTTTGTGGCTACATTACGGAGTGCTGTGATTTCCATAATTTTAGATGATCAGTGCCTCCCAGCAGATGAGGTAGTGGATGAATGCATCTATAGGGGAGGCAGATGTTTTAAGATGGGGTGGGCATTCCTTCCTAATTCTACTAATGACTGAAGCACAAGAACCACCAGCCTCTTTATGCTTGTAGAGCAGATGGAGAAAACATTTAAACTGCCTCTGATGAGTCAGAAATCCAAGTTCTATTCTGGGTTCTGTGGCTTTGGAAAGCTTGTTTATCTCAGCTCCAACTAGTCATTCCAACCAGTGTGGAAAACGTTGTCATACCAAAAAAAAAAAAAAAAAAAAAGTCATAGAAAGCAGCAGTGCCAACAGCCAAGTTCGCATTTCTCCTGTTACTCCGGGGACAAAAAATGGCTAGGTTGGCATCAGCTTTCAGCTTTGGAGAAGAGGATGCGATGGAGTATAGAAACTCTAAGCATTCCTCTTGGGATTGAAAAAAAAGAAACCATGAAAAGAATAAAAGAGAGAAGAGGGTCTGTGTAGCACACAAAAGCACAACAGCATGTCACTGAAATGACAACCAAGGAAGAAAATAATTGAGGATGAATGTGAAAGTCATCCTTGGAGAGCTGAAGCCCCATAAAGGAATGATAATAATAACAACCAGCATTTGTATAATACTTTGCTCTTTGTCTTATTTGATCTCGCACTTTCATGAAGGACCTATTATGTGATGATTCCCATTTTATAGGTGGGAAAAGCTGAGGCATAAAAGGCCAATGTCCTCAACACGTTCACGAAGTTCACAAGGTCAGAACTAGGGGGTAACCATATATTATGGGTTTAAATTCTACAAGTTTTCTTGGAAACATTTTCGATCTGCTTCAAAGACGTTACATGGTCCGATTGTCTATTTAGGCCTTGAACTTTCACCTTGGTGGATGATGATTCTTCCTAATCTAAGAGAACTTCTATAAGGTCCTACATGGGAGACAAAAGGGGCAGGTCAGGGGACCAAGCAACCATCCAACTCAGTCTTTCCCAAACATCATTTGACAACAAAAATCACATGGGCTCCTGTTAAATATTCAGTTTCACCAGTCCCCTTTCCTGAAGTTTCTGGTTTAAAGTATCTGAGTTAGGGCTTGGGAACTTGTATTTCTAAGCTTACGTACCAAAGTTATTCTTTTCATCATCGAAGTTTGGGAAGGATTGGTCTTCATAACTCATGAATCTATAGTTGGGTTTAGAACAAGAAGTAAAGGAAAATACGTGTCATTTTAAGATTTCTAGTACCTGCCTCTTTAATTCGAAGTGATTTCTAAGCATCCCTTATACCAACCCTTTTTGTTGTTTTTGTCTTAATAAAACACTCTGGTAATGAAAAGGATGTTTTGATGCGACGTATTAGTAAGGATCCTTGCTCACTGTAGGCCTGAGCTTTCTGCCTTATGCTTATGTATCACTCAGATTGAGATACGTGAACCTAAAGCTCTGATATTTTAGCTGAAACAATCTGGCAACCCTCTCCAGCATTCAATAACCCTTACTTTCAGGAAAAGAATTTCACACACAATCTAAATCCTTAATGTGGCAATTTAGTTCCATTTGAGAGTGTTGCTAGCTTTCTGATACTGATGTTTACTGCCTCAAATATTTTTATTTTTACTAGTGAGGGTATAAATTTCAGTAGATAAATAACAGAAATGTTAGAGTTAGGTTGGAAAGTTTGTATATAAAACCAGACGGGCAAAGCATGGTGATCTCTACTTTTGATCACTCTGTTCACTGTTAAGGATTTATGGAGCTAGGAAGGAGTTATTCAATGTATAGGCACTGAGTGAGAACATATGCAAGTTAAATTGCAACATATGTGGATTGTAGAAGTTGTCAGCGAAGCAAGTGGTGATTACATAACAATTTAGAAATAACACGAAGGAGCTAGGGGCCAAATAAATCATGGTAATATAATTTAGTTTGGTTGGCTTCAGTAAGAAGAGGTAAAAAAAAAAAAAAAAAGAATGCATTATGATAAATAATAATCAAAATTCTAATTAAAAAAACAGATTCTAACTGACAGCAATCCCATCTGTGCCTGAGTAGAAAAACTGTGCTCCACAGGGTTTCCAATAGCTGATTTTTCAGAAGTAGATTGCCAGGCCTTTCTTCCCAGGTGCCTTTGGGTAGTCTAGAAAGCCAACCTTTCGGTAAGCAGCCCAGTCCATTAACAGTTTGCACCACCCAGGGACTCCAAAATTCTAATAAAAAAACCAAACCAAACCCGTTGTCTTTGAGTTGATTCCGACTCATAGCAACCCTATAGGACAGAGTAGAACTGCCCCATAGAGTTTCCAAGGAGCACCTGGTGAATTCAAACTGCTGACATTTTGGTCAGCAGCCAAACTCTTAACCACTGCACCACCTGGGTTTCACTTATTCAGCATTTAGTATGTACCACAACTATCCTAAGCACTTCACATGAAATACCTTATTTAATCTTGAAATAGATGTTATTGCCATCTCTATTTATTTATAAAGAAATTGAGGTAGAGAGAGGTTAATTTGTCCAAGGTGAAACAGCAGCTGAGGTAATTGGGTACATAACTCTTCAAGGCAGTACAACTTCTAGCATACCTGTGCCATGTCCCAGGCCCTCCAGCCTTGATCCCTGCCATTGCCTTAGAATATCTTTTCTTGCTGAAATCTTCAGTTCCACTTGGCTGCTAACATCTGCCTCCCCAGCCAGGCCCCTTCTGATATCTCCAGACTACCACGCTGAAGGGGGTTCAGTTCACTGAAGTGCAGGATGGAATGGTGAAAACTGTAAGTTACACAGACACACCCGGAATGAAGTGGAGGTGGCAAATTTCCATCAAATTCATAAAACATAAACAACCAGTCTTTACAATTCAGAACCAAACAACTCCATGTCCTTCATAAATTATAGCGATTAAATTTAATCAAGTGTAATGACTATATAATCGCAGGCATAGTTCATCTACATTTTTTGAATATGTTGAAGTCTTGAGGAAGCCTCTTGAGTCCTCTAGGGATTACTCTCCCTTTCAGATGCTCTTTGAAAATTAATGCAGGGTGAGCTCAAGCAAGGAAAGAATACAGCTTGTCTCCCAGGTATTAGGTATCTACCATTTACAGAGCCTATTTTGCTTTTTTGTTGTTCATTTCCCACATCTTGTCTGAAGAGTTGCCTAAGAAGTCTGGGTAAATAAGATACCCTCTTTACCTATTACAAAATTTGCCTTTCAACTAGAAAGAAATACCAGTGAAAATAGTTGTAATGGGATTTGAACTATGATAATACATGCACATTTATGTGGAGGAGTATAGATTGGTTGATTCTTTTACTCTATGAAGAGAACAAGGTTATTTATCGATTAGATGTTTCATAGCATCTTTCCTCTGAAAGATTCAGCTTATGCACAGTTGGGGAAAAGTTTGTCCAAGGGATATAATTTATGGGCAGTGAGAGAAATAGGTGAGGAAAATAGTAAAAAAAAATTGTTAGGAAATACATGACTCCCTGTAAGATTTGGTATAAGAAAACGTACATGTCAGGGAATATGCTTTCAATGAATTTGAAGAAAAGCCAAATGCTAGTTTATCATGAGATTAAAAAAAGGGTCAAGATCCACACAGATACACACACATACACAAACCAGATTTTAGAAATAATTAACTGAAAATATTTTTAATTAAAGTAATACAAGAACATGGAGTCTTATGGTCTCCAAGCATACTGCAAAGGAGCAGGGTCCAGATTCCCACAGCTCCGTAACCCCAAATTCCTATTTTCTTCTCTTCCTGGCACAGAGAAATCTCCTTTTATCCAAGAAGGAAAGTGGCAGGGGCTTAAGCCGTGTCTCCTGCTTCCCTCAGACACTCTGCTCTACCCAAAAATGTTCCTCTCATTACGGGCCTTTGGTTTTGGGAAATAAAATATAGGAGGTTGTTATGCATTGAATTGTGTCCCCCCAAAATGTGTGTCAACCTGGTTAGGCCATGATTTCCAGTATTGTGTGATCCTCCATCATTTGTGATCTGATGTGATTTTCTTATGTGTTGTAAATCCTACCTGTATGACGTTAAAGAGGCAGGATTAGAGGCAGTTATGTTAATGAGGCAAGATTCCATCTACAAGATTAGGTTGTATCTTGAGTCATTTTGTTTTGAGATGTAAAAGAGAGAAGTGAGCAGAGAGACCAAGGGACCTCAAGCCACTAAGAATGAAGAACCAGAAGGGAGTCTGTCCTTTATACTCCGGGGTCCCAGTGCTGAGAAGCTCCTAGACCAGGGCAAGATTAATGACAAGCACCTTCCCCCAGATGAGACAGAGAAAGCCTTCCTCTGAAGTTGGTACCCTGAATTCAGACTTCTAGCCTCCCAGACAACGAGAGAATAAATTTCTCTTTGTTGAAGCCATCCACTTGTGATATTTCTGTTATAGCAGCACTAGATAAGACTAAGACAGAGGTCTTTTTGGTAGAAGTTCAGTTTCCACTCTGTTACATATCTCACCTGAGTGAATGAACAGAATATCAGTTACCTGTTTGGTTGGAAAAAGGGGGGTGGGGAAACGGGAAGGAGAAAGGAATAAAACATAATTGGTCAAAATATTATCCATCCATGCATGTGTACACCACCACAACAGAAGGCACGATGAAAGAGAAAATTTCTAGAAAAATGTACAAGCAAAGAGTTGAATGCTCTGAAGAAGGAAAAACTAAGTTTAAATGAGGGATTTTTTTTTTCCCCTTTCCAACATTGCACTGAAAGACGAATAGAATAGCCCAAATCTCTCAAAGGTTCATTAATCATATGCATAGAGAGAATAAATCACCTGTGGCAAAATGCCATTCAGTGCCTAGCAATATATTTAAAGGACGGTAAAGCCTTTCCTCAATTAATTATTTGACTACCACAGTGCAAAAGAATTCACTTCTTTTTTTTTTAACCTTAGCTATCTGTTAGGAGAGAATATGACTTTAATTTGATCTTTGGTAGACATAGCCTAGATCTTTCTCAATAGGCAAAAAAAAAAAAAAAAAAAGATCAAAGTTGTCAATAGACTTAAATGACAAAACGTAAGTGATTTCTTTGTAAGCTGCAAACCATTACACAATATGGCATTTATTGTTATGTCTACCTTTATAACGTCTCTTCATATGCACCTATTAACACCAGCCCAAATTCTTGCTCCCACCTCTGTCCCTGTAGACTGACTATTACACCCACCTGAAATTCATATCTGTTCTGTCTACTGTCATCAGGTGAGTTGTTTCCTCTTGATGTAAGACTCCCATTGCCATCTCTTCCCTCTGCCCACACGATAACTCCATCTCTTTGCTGCTGATTGGCTGCCGTTACAGGTGATGGAGGCTGATGCAGATGGATTTCAGCAGTTCTCATGAGTATTTTATGTGCTTCTGCTGATTTACAGTCAGTTCAGCATTCCTTTAAATGGCCATAAATTGGATTGATGTCATAAGTCATATCTAGAGAAAGTGCCAGAGTCCCAGCTCAGGCAGCTATGCTAATGTCTGTGAAAATAACAAAGAAACATCCTCATTCAGGCTCGACTCTATTGCATTAAAAGGCCAGATTGTAAGGATCTGTCAGTTCCTGAGAGGGGAAAAGGTAAAAGGGGGAGAAAGGTCTTTGTAGGATTATTAATAACACAGCCAGGAAGAAAGTATAGATGTGTGCCAGTGAGAATAAACAGGGGGAAGGAACAGGGGACTCTGGAAGAGTGATGAAAGAGAGTGCTCTGTACGGAAAAGACAAATGCAAATGAAATATACTGTATGGCAACGGATTATATCAGCGGCTGATATATGGGTTTCAGTATCAAATTGTTGAGCTGGCAGCCATTAATGTGATATAGTGGATGTGATATGCTGGGTGATGGCAGTCCTGGTGCAGGGAAAATAAGGAACACGCTGCAGTCTTTCAAAACAATGGTTCAAAGAAAAGACAGAAAATTATAGCACTACAAGTTTATAAAACTAAAGTCGTGTGAGATAATTATGGATTCTGATAGAGTTCATTATTCTTTATCTATCAGCTCTCCAATCTCATAAGGGAGAAAAAGGCTCCTTACTGGGGGATTGGGGTGAGAGCTTTTTCATTCCATTAAGGGTAGCAAAAGTGACTGGATGTTTTCTCTGTGGAGTGCACATTACCCTGACATCGTAGCCAGAAAGGTTGGAATCCCCAGCCCCCCTGGGTAGAACTATTTTGAGCCCCCACTGGTCTTCAGAATTCATAGGAATTCAGATTGCTTCCAAAACATTTTCTGCTACTCTGGTTCATTGACATATTCATTCATCAGATCTTTACTGAGAGCCTACTATGTTCCAAGCAAAGTGCCGGGGTTTCAGAAATGAAAGTAAAAAAACTCTCTGAAACAGGTATCAATTTTTATGTCTGTCCCTTGGCTTTTGCATTTGAATGGTTTGTTCACACAGCATGCTACATTGGCCCATGTAAAGAAAGTTGTAGGACAGGATGTCTAGGCAGATGTCTCTAAACCACTTGATGTGTTTCAGGGTCACTGCCAGTCCTCCTCTGCTGGCTTTTAGTCCTGACTTGACTCCGGCATGTAGTGCCTGCTGCTGGCACTGAGGTTTTGACAATTGGTTGGATGCTTCTTTTTGACCTACTCGATCTAAGTTTTCCACTCAGTTTTTGGCTTTGCTCACTGCCCCAGTTTTGGCATTCCCTGTAGCTTAAGGCTAATATGAGAGAAATCCTCCTCTTGGCATCCATAATACCCGCCCCCCATACAAACCCAATGCCAGCATTGCACTAGTTACCACTCCCCAACTCCACCCAGAAATGAGTATTCTGACACTTAGATTTATTTTTCTTTTTCTGGACCCTCAGTCTATGCTTCTTATTTCTTATGTGCTCCAGTTTCCGTCCTTGATTTTCTTTCTCATCTTGTGTACTCACTCTGAGAACACTTCTCCATCCCCAGGAATCCAATTACTCCCCATTGGCCAATCTGTCTGAGTCCTCCTTCTCCTCTACTTTCCTCCTGAACTCCTGACCCAATAGCCTTGCTGAACCGCCTACTGAACAGATCTAACTCGGTGTCCTGCAGGCATTTCAAGCTGAGGAGAGAGCCATCTATTCTTTCTCACGTGTCTTCCGTCTCTATTTAGAGCATCACCATCTCCCCAGTCCCTCAAATTAGACACAACTGAGTCATCCTTAATTCATCCTTCTCCCTAACCAGTCTCGCTACATAACCAGTTAGAAAAGTCCTTCCAGTTCCACCTAAGAAGTGTTTCTGAAATCTGTTCCCGATTCGTCTTTCTGACTGCCACTGCTTGAGTTCAAGCCCTTTCTACCACAACACCAGCTACTCACTGATATCCCTCCTTTCAATATTTCCAATTCTAATCCATCCAACCCTGCTACTGCTAACTAGGTCTCATTCTAAAATATATCTCTGACCATGACACACCTTGGTATAAAAATTCTTCATTTGTTATATCCTAAAGAATAATCTTTAATAAGTGCATACATGAATGGTTCTGTGTTTGAACCTGAAAGAGCATATTACTCAGCAGCCATTCAATATGGCAGCAACGTACCTTTCTAACGTTATCTCAAAATGCATACTCCCTCTGAAAAAACAAAACTCATTGCTGTGGAGCAGATTCTGACTCATAGTGACTGTATAGAACAGAGTAGAACTGCCCTATGGGGTTTCCAAGGAGTGGCTGGTGGATTTGAACTGCTGACCTTTTGGATAACAGCTGAGCTCTTAACCACTACACTACCAGGGCTCCCTACACAACGTATATGGCTCTAACTAACCTGGAATAATTGCCAATCCCTGAACGCACCTTATATTCTCCATCAGGTCATTAAACCCATTGTATAAAAGAGGTGGAATTCCCAGAGTTATTCCAGAACAAATTACTCTTTTCCATATCTACAACCCTACCCATAGCCCCACAAACTCCTGAAATTGAGTTTATTATTCTCCCTGTAGAATGAGACAAGAACTTTTGCTATGATCTCTTGGCATTCTTTTGACCTACTGGTCATCCCAAGAATAATAGGGACACTTTCACTGATCAGATGAACAAGTTTCAAGTTTCAGTCCTTCCGAAACACTAGTCTATATAGAAGTTACCACAGAACATTCTAAAACACAGATTTCTAGACCATACTCCTAGAAATTATAATTGGAATGAGGCCCAAGGATCTGTATTTTAAACAAGCTTCCCCAGATAATGCTGAGGCTCAGCCAAGTGTGGAAATCAATGGTTTGAATTAGCTGGATGACTGATAGAGCCAGGATGAATACCAAGACCAGCTTAATAACTGGGTTTCCCACTGGAGCAGAGCAATTCAGAACAATAACTAAAAGGTGGCTGGGAGTTAGGGGGGTGGTGACGAGTGGATGAGGAAGGAAACTGAGGCCATCAAAGTTATTCTAAAATCCCAGAGGTGGCAGCATTTTAGATGAGGCTGATAAATAAAAAATGGCCTCTCCCATCTGGCTTCATAATATGGGAAACATTGTTAATCAGACATTTGTAAAAGTACCACAGAGTTTGCTAAAGAACTATGACTATAGTTCTTAAATTCTAAAATAGGAGCATCAGGCTTCTATGTGTTCTGTCTTATACAAATGCCAGAGTCACTAACATGGGTACCTGGCATTTCCAAAGGATCCTACTTACATTGCTTACAAATTAGGCTAATACCACTTAAAACCACTTCAAATAGCTATTTATTATTTCACAATTTTCCTGATTTTAAATAGTATCAATTCTACCAATTTACCAACCCTCACTGATTAGTCTAACTTGGCAGCTGGTTAAACTGGCAGCAAACCACCACCATGGTGGTGCTTGATGACAGCAGTAATGCTGCTGATTGCCCAGACTGTCAAGAGTGGATGGAAGGGCAGCGCTGCCTAGGTGGCCCTGGTGGCCACCATAGAGCCATAGTTCACATTCTTTGAACTGGTTAATTTGGGAGGCATCCTCTCTTGAAATTGCTTTAGATGCCATAGAGAGCTTCCAGTTTCTGTGATATGAACTTCTCTGTAATTACCTAAAGGTTTGCGATTCTGTCATTTGTTGATAACCAGCTTTTTCCATGACCTTTCCGGACTTCAGTTTTTTTTTTTGATTTATGTTGTTTTGTTTTGGTGAAGTAATAATAATATCCATTTACCTGTATCCCTTGTTAAGGATGACCAGGGAAACCAGTGAAATGTATCTGTGAGTGAGCGAGTGAGCGAGTGAGGAGTGAGTAAGTGAATGAGTTATTGAGGCCTGCTGCGAAGTAACTGGCATGGTCATGGAGTAAGGGGGAATAGAGTGAGCGCTATAAGATGTCGCTACACCTTAAACAAGAAAAAGAAGAATAAAGCACACCAGCCACACAGAGCTGGTAAAGGGATAACATGCGCTAAAGCAACAGCAGAAAGACGAAAATCTGCAGAAGCCAAGTAAATTAAGCCCAGGATTCTTTTTCTTCACCTCAGTTCTGAGCCACCATCAGAATCAGTAAGTGGTAACTAAAAGTAAGATACAGAAAAAGACTGAAGAATTGGGATGGGATGAGGGAAAGGAGGATAAAATTGGGAAGGTGAGGTGGGAAAGAAAAAACCTTCCACTTGGCCAATCAGGCACCAGGAAGAGAATAAGGTAATGGGGAAGAAAAAACTCTTCAGCTTCTGGGAATTATAACCAGGTTTTCAAAGAAAGTTTTTTTGTCAGTTTGTTCTTGTTTTTAAACCCAAATATTTTAGTGTCACCTCCTTGTGAGTATAAAATTAAATATGCAGTTATGATGTTTGAAACCTCAGCCTGCTTACTTTGCGAAGTCGTGCCTTTGACCAGGTTTTCCTTCTAAAATGTTTCTGGGGAACATTAAAATAATCCGCAAATCTGCTGTCTTTGCTGCTTGCCACCCCAGCCAGCTGTTGGTCCAGTTCACTGCCTTTATTTACCGTCCCTTCTTCCTCGGAGCGCCTTACCTCAGGCTGCTGCTGCTTGGCCCATCCCCCATGCCCTCATTATCCTCCATCTGAGCGTCTTCCCTAAATTCTCAAAGACAAAGCAGAGAAAAACTGTAACTTTTAAGAAAACTTTGCAAAAGATTTGGAGATAAGGACAACTCCTATCCACCACTAGGAGCATCTTAGCTCTGAGTACACACACCTAAGCCTGCCCTTAGAGTACTTTAACAGTTTACAGTCCTGACTGGCCCCTCATCTGCCACCTCAAAGCTGAAGCCCACACATTCCCTTACCCCAAATGGGAAAGCTCCAGGCATTGTCATGTCTCAGCACCCAACTGTGAAAAGACCCCAGGGGAAGTGGAAATGGTTTGCCATCAACCTCAGTCTAAAACCTTGCTCCTGAATGCTCAATTTTTGCCTTAGGATTGATGTCTTAGTGGGAAGATTCTCTTCAAGGGAAACTCTAATCCACTGACTCAGGTGTTAACTTACCTGTTTTCTCCCAAATGATATCAATACACAACATTAAACACAATTTTAATAAATCCAAGGGAGGTAATAACTGTAAGGGAGTCCAAGCCAAACACATACATATCCCCGCAAGAACAAGCACATCAATCTAGGCCTTTGTTCTTCTCAGCCTTAGATACTTTATTCCCCAGTGGCTCTTTCTTTCTCTCTCTCTCTCATTTTCTCACCTGTCAGGTATTGACTTAAGGCTGAGATCTGACAATATATGGGCTTGAGATACATCCACCATATTATCCAGTTTTCACCTGTTATCCTCTAGCACAATTTTAAATGCATGCTCTTATATTTTCAAAGGTTTCCCAATTTGGACAATAAAGTTTATGGTCACCCTAAATTGAGGGGGATTAATCAGTACAATGAAACAAAGCATTTTAACAAAGGCCCTTACGTCACTTTCCTGGACTATCTTCCCTGGACTTCCCTGGACTACCTTACGAGCCTCTCATCTAAAATATCTGCCTCCGCTATTAACTGCCACGTAAGTGTTTAACAAATATTACTAAGCATATTTATAATATGCTTGGATTGTTCTTGAGACTGTATATAATATTTTAAACAACAAACAAATCAAGTTATGACTTTCACAAAGCTTACATTCTAGGGGACCAAATAGATCTTTTTAAGAGAAAAATCTGGTCATGACACTGCCTTACCAAAAATCTGTTAAAAGTTCCTGTTGTTTGCATACTGAAGTCCAAATTACTTAGCCTGGCCCCCAAGACTTTCTGCCCTACTCCCTCCCCCAAGTTTTTTCTAATATTTCCCTTAATGTAAGTCACACTAGACCAACAATATCCCACGTTCCTCTGAGCCTTTCATACCTCAACAGTTTGCTTGTGCTCTTTACCCTTCTCAGCATATCCCTACTCCATTTTTCCTCTTTTGGAAAGATCTACCTATCTTTCAAGCTTCAACTCAATGTCATTTAGTTTCTAAAGCTTTCCCTGAGCCTTGAAAGCAGAATCAGTCACTCCTTTATGTGTGAGCCCAAAGCAGTTTATAAACCCATCTGTTGTAGCACATACCACATCATGCTTTGGTTAATATGTTTATGGGTCTTTCTCTCCCACTAGACTGTGAACTCTTCAAAGACAGGGACCACATGGTCCTTGTGTTACCTATGGCAAGAATATCCAAGTTGCTTAATAGGTATTTATTGAATTTCATTAGAAAGTTGAGGACAACAATATGTTTAAACAAAATTTTTATAAGAATCTTTGATAAAAGGCTTGCAAGAAGAGCAGAGGGATAAGTTCAATAATGTGCAGTGGTTTTCAGAGAGGACTGGAAAAATCTAAAAGTTTTATGAATGTAATGCAAATTATAGAGAATTCTAAAGAACAAAGGTGAGAAGAATATTTACTATACTCATATTAAACATAAATATTTAAGTTATAAGGCCACATCTTGGAGTCATATAGAATCTGAAATATGCTATGACATTATATGCCAACACAAATATGCATCTCTCCTCTATGGCTGGGTGGAGGAAAATAAAACAGAATAGAATAAATCCAAATGCCAAAAGGAACAATGCAAGGTCACTCACACAGTCCCCTACAACAAGTCAAACAGGACAAAAGTAAGACAAAGCATGACAGTGTATTTTCCAGTTCTCATTCCAGATGATGGGCTGAGCACAGAATTTTACCCTCCTTCCTGAAAAATTCTGTTATATGGGAATAAAAAAAAATGTATACAAAAGAGAAGAAAAATCTACAACATTGTTAGAAAGAAGGAAAGAGTATAAGTATAAAGCTCAAAGACTTTCTGAAAGATATAAAGTGATTTGAATCTAGGTGTTGGAGAAAACAGTTCCAAGAGAGTAACAAAAAAGGTGTGTGACATTTTTCCTAGGAGTCCTGAGGAACTCTGCAGAAGAACCACCTGCAGCCTGGACCAAGCATTCTACTTCACTTGTCTTGGTTTGGGTTATAGCATTAGACCCTCAGCTTGCAGCTATATACATTTTTTTTAATAGTGGAAGGAAGAGATAGAAGCCAGGAAAAGAATCAAAGCAAAGCCCAAAATAACTATGCAACATTTACATAGATATATAAAAAATAGAAAGAGATTACTAAAGACATGAAAAGAAAAAAAAAAAAATTATTGATTTGTATGTCGTTAAATTTTGTATAAATGATATACTCTTCTAAAATTTACTTTTTTTTACTCAATATTTTGTTCTAAACACCCATTTAATACATCATATTTCAGATCAACCATCTTACTAGATCTTGGATCTTGGTCAAGGTGGTCTGACTCTGATATATCATAATTTTATTTTATGAACTGACATTATACTTGTAAAATGTTTATAACAATGTCTACAAATAGTTTATACTCAAGAAATGTTATTTGCTATTATTTTCACTATTATTTCATTCATTTGTGTGAATGCACCACAATTTATGTGTCCGTTCTTCTATGACAAACTGTTGAAAGATATTCACTATTTTATTTGTACAAAAAAAAGCTGCAATGAACATGCAAGTACAAGTACATGTCTCCTTGTGTATATGTATAGAAATATGTTATATCTTAAAGTGAATTGTTGGATTAAAGAGTATGATGGATCATCACAGTAACTGCCCTCAAAGAATCATGATTCTCCTCCCACATTGACTCTAGGTTTGTCTATGTGACTTCTTTGGCCAATAAGAAATTGTCAGGAGATAATTCTCTATGGGTTTCTCACATGTCTGCACACCTTGAAGTAAGGTGCTAATTGTTCCTTTGTCCCAGCCTACCTTTTTAATGATGTTTGTATAGCAAACAGTTTTGTAGATAAAAGAAAATAGTGTCACACTTCCTCTTCTGGGTCAGAACACAGGTTTCCATGCAGCTTAGTATGAGAGATTCAGGTTCCCTAAGCCCAGGGTTCCTCCGCAATGATTCAGACCCACTGAATCCACAGCATCCACCTGGAATCCAATGTGTTGCCCTCATAAGTCTTTGGATGTGAACACCATGTTCATTCTGCCTGATGTATATTATGAGTAACAAGATCCTTTATCTCTGGCCCAGGAGTCTTGTGTCTTCTGCCAGCAACCAGGAAACTATGGAAGGTTAACTTCTTGGTTTGAGACTAGGGTAAAATCTCATATTCTTCACATTTCTTGACAGATAATAGCAAATGTGATAAAAGGAGAGTCTAAAACTTCTTGCACATTGGAGGTTGGCTTCTCTTGCTGCTTGGAACTCTTTTGCAACCATGCAAAAAAGCCCAGACTAGCCTCTTGGAGGATGTTAAAGAGACTGGGAAGAGAGACCTCACATGTACCAATCAAGGTCCAAATCTATTAGAGAGCCCACCTGACATGAGAAAGCAGACATGAACTACCTCAGCCCAAATTGCTAGCCCACAGAATCACGGAGCAATAAATTGTTGTTTTATGCCAATAATTTTGGAGGTGACTAGTTATATAGCAAGGAGCCCTTGTGGTGCAACGGTTAAGCGCTTGCCTGCTAACTGAAACTTTGGCGGTTCAAATCCACCAGTGGCTCTGTGAGAGAAAGACCTGGCAATTGGCTTCTGTAATGATTGCAGCCAAGGAAACCCTATGAGGTAGTTCTACTCTGTCACATGGAGTTGCTGTGACTCGGAATCAACAACAACAGCAGATATACAGCAAAAGTTAACTAATACAAGGTAGTTAGGTAGTTATCACATAATACAACCAGATATTGACATAGGCTCTGAGGATAAAGCAACAGATAAAAATGAGCTATATTCCAGAGGTCTTGATTAGCTTCAGCTTCACTTGAATTGGAAAAGCAATCCACAAAAGATTTATACCAATATGCACTTGAAACAACACAGCGTGAACATTTCCATTTGCCATTTCCTTAACAAGTGTGATTTTAGGATTTTTTTTTCCAATTTGATAAATATAAAATTGCATATCATTGCTATTTTAATTTTCATTTTTCTGTTTATTAGTAGTTTTTTTTCCTATTTTATTTTTTATTTATGATTCCTATTCTACAAATAGCTAATTCATGTCCTTTGTCCATCTTACTTTTGGATTCTCTCTCTCTCTTTTTTTTAAAAATTATGCTTTAGGTGAAAGTTTATAGCTCAAGTTAATTTCTCATTCAAAAACAGATACACATATTATTTTGTAACGTTGAAAAATACGGAATGCTTCACAAATTTGTGTGTCACCCTTGTGCAGAGGCCATGCTAATCTTCTCTATATCGTTCCAACTTTAGTATATGTGTTGCCAAGTGAGCAGGGGATTCTTTTTACACTTATTTGTTGTTATTTATGTATACAGATACTAATCTTTCATCAATTAAGTGGGTTGCAAATATTATCCCCCAAATGCATTTTTAATGTTTTTCTAGCTTTGTAATAAACCTTAAAATATGGCACAAGTTCTTCTTCTTGATTCTCCTTCAAAATTATCTCTGCTAATCCAGTTCCTTTCAGCTTCCATTGCATTTGCCTCCATATACATTGTTGTAGTTGCTGTCAAGTTATCTCTGATTCATGGCTACCATATATATAACAGAACAAAGTGATACTAGGTCCTGTGCCATCTTCATGATCATCAGTATGTTTGAATCCATTTTTGTCATTATTGTGTCAATCCAACTCATTGAGGGTTTTTCTTGTTTTCACTGACCCTCTCCTTTACCAAGTATAACGTCTTTTTGTATAGATTGGTCTTTCTTGATGACACGTCCAAAGTAAGCGAGCCGAAGTCTTGCCGTCCTTGCTTCTAAGGAGTATTCTGGCGGTATTTCTTCTAAAACCGATTTGTTCATTCTTCTGGAATTTCATAGTATATTCAATATTCTTCACCAAAACTACAATTTGAATTTATCAATTCTTGGTCTGTCTTCCTTTTTCATTGTGCAGCTCCCCTATGCATATGAGACCATTGAAAAGACTAGGGCTTGGGTCAGGTGCCATCTTTGGTGACATCTTTGCTTTTTAAAACTTTAAAGAGATCTTTTGCAGCAGATTTTCCCAATGCAATATGTTGGTTGATGTCTTGACTGCTGCTTCCATGGACGTTGATTTTGAATCCAAGTAGAATAAACTCCTTGACAATTTTCATTTTTTATCCATTTATCATGATGTCATTATTTATTGGTCCAGTTGTGATGATTTTTGTTTTCTTCACATTCAGGCATAATTCATAATAAAATGAAGCCTGTAGTGTTTGACCTTCATCAGTAAGTGCTTCAGGTCATCATCATTTTATTTTATTAAGCAAGGTTGTGTCATCTGCACATCACAGTTGTTAATGAGTCTTCCTCCAATCCTGATATCATGTTCTTCTTCATATTATTTGTCATATTCTTCTCAGATTATTTGTTCAGCATACAGATTGATTAAGTAAGGTGAAAAAAATACATCCCTGCTGCACATATTTTCCAGTTTTAAGTCCTGCATGTATCCCCTTGTTATGTTGGAACAACTGCCTCTTTATCCATGTACGAGTTCCACAAGAGCACAATTAAGTGTTCTGGAATTTCCAATCTTTGTAACATTATCCGTAATTTGTTATGAACCACACAGCCAAATGTCCTCACTAGTTTGATAAAACACAGACAGATAAACATCTTTTTGGTATTCTTTGCTTTTGGCCAAGATCCAGCTAACATCAGCAGTGATATTCCTCGTTCTATGCCCTCTTCTGAATCTGGTTTGAACTTTTGACAGTTCCCTGTGGATATACAGCTGCAGTAGTTTCTAAATCGTCTTTAAGAAAATCTTGCTAGCATGTAATATTGATGATATTATTCAATAATTTCCACATTCCGTTTGATAACCTTTCTTTGGAATGAACACGAATATGGATTTATGGATTTCTTCCAGTCAGTTGTCCAGGTAGCTGTCTTCCAAACTTCTGGACATAGATGACTAGCATTTTCAATGTTGCATCGGTTTATTGAAGCATCTCAGTTGGTATTCCACCAGTTCCTGGAGTCTTTATTTTTCACCAATGCCTTCAGCAAAGCTTGAATTTCTCCCTTCAGTATCAGTTGTTCTTGACCATGTGCTACCTGTTGAAATGGTTGAATACTGACCAATTCTTTTTGGTACAGTGACTCTGTGTAGTTCTTCCATCGTCTTTATTTTATTTTTTAAAAATTTTGGTGAAAGTATACACAGCTAAAGATACACCATTTCATCAATTTCTACATGTATAATTCAGTGACGTTGGTTACATTTTTCAGATTATGCTACAATTCTGACTATCTTTTTCACATTATTCCACCATCATTATCTTAAACTCACTGCTCACTAAGCTTCCCATCCCACCTTTCAAGTTGCCATTGTTGATTTGATCTCACATAGACAATTAATTAAAAGAGCACAGTGCTCAAAGCGGATGTACTTTACTAATTAAAATAAGCTATTTTTTGGTTCAAAAAACACTTCAGTGTATAGTTTTGGTTTAAGATTTAAAATTTAAAAATTACTTCAGGGCAATAGCTTCAGGGGCTCAACTAGCCTCAATGGCTCCAGAAAGTCTGCACGGACTACAGATGTAGTCAATTTGATTCCTGTATAATCTATCCAGTGAGGTCCATGCATATAATCATTTATTGTGTGGTTGAAAAAAAGCATTTCCAATAAATATGTCATTGGTCTTGCAAAATTCTACCATGTGATCTGCAGTATTATTTTTATCATCAAGTTGTATTTTCCAACTACTAACGTTTCTTCATTTTCAATTTTTTCATTCCAATCACCCATTATTATCAATGCAACTTGATAGCATATTCAATCACTTTCAAACTGAAGCAGGTCACAAAAATCTTCAATTTCTTCATCTTTGGTGTTTGTGGTTGGTGTGTAAATTTGAATAATAGTCATATTAACTGGTCTTCTTTGAAGGCATATGGATATTAACCTATAAGTGACCATATGATACTTCCAGACAGATGTCAAAATGTTCTTTTTAAGAATGAATGCAACACCATTCCTCTTCAATTTGTTATTCGTGGCATAGTAGACGATATGATTGCCAGATTCAAAATAGTCAATACCACTTCGTTTCAGCTCAGTTACGTCTATTGATCTTCAAGCATTCCATTTCTTTTTTGACAACTTCCAATTTTCCTTGATTCACAGGTCGTACAATCCATGTTCTGATTACTAATGGATGGTTGCAGCTTTTATTTCTCATTTTATGTCATGCCACATCAGCAAATGAGAGTCCCAAAGGCTTTACTTCATCTGCATCATTATGTTTGACTTTACTTTGAGGAGGAAGCTCTTTCCAAGTTGTATTTTAGGTGCCATCCAACCTGGGAAGCTCATTTTCCAGCACTAAATCAGACAATATTCTGCTGTCATCCATCAGGAATTCTCTGGCTAATCTTAAGAAGTAGATCACCAGGACTTTCTTCATAGTCTGTGTTAGCATGGAAGCTCAGCTGAAACCTGTCCACCATGGGTGAGCCTGCTGGTATTTGAAACACTGGTGGTATAGCTTCCGATATCATAGCAGCATGCAAGACAACACAGTACAACAAACTGAAGACTTTCATGGGGCTAGGCTGTAGTTATTCAATCAAAAACTAATCTTGGTGTTTCTGTGAAGGATTTTGTAGATGTGACTAATATCTAAAATTAGTTGACTTTAAGAAAAAGAGATTATCCTCCATAAATTGAGTGGTCCTCATTTAATCTGTTGAAAGGTCTTAAGAGCAAAATTCAGGTTTCCCTTAAAAAGACAGGAAAAATATATATACACACACACACATATACACACACACATATGCATACATGCATATATATGTGAGTATATATAATGTGTGTGTGTGTGTGTGTGTGTATATATATATGTAACAATTTTAGTATATCCTGCTAGTTCTCTGGGAGAACCCTACAGATACAGGTTCTTGTTACCATGGCCTGAAGCAGAAGTTTCAAACATTATTATTCATTTTGTAATTATTTTCTAACAAATACATTTAAGGCTATATATTTCCTCTAACCTAAACTTCATCCTGCAAACCTGTTCTTCACCTGTAAATATTTTGTTATTTTCATCAGGATTTCCTATTTGACTCTCTGATTATTTAAAAAGTGTGTCTTTAAATTCCAAACTTATCAAATTTTATTGGTCAACTTTGTAAATACTAATTTCTAATTACAATGTGGTTTTTTTAGATAATTTGGTCTACATGATATTGTTTATTTTGTATTTATTTAAACATCTTTATTGCCTCATACAAGGTCATATAAGTGCTCAAAAATAATGCTTATCCTCTATTAGATACAAATTTTTATAAATATCTATTGGATTAAGCTTACTAATTGTGTTGTTCAATTCTGGTACATCTAAAGTAACTTTTTCTTGGCATAATTCATCAATTTCTGAGACACGTAGCTTAAAATTTTATACTATGATAAGGAGTATATCAATCTCTTGTAATTATTTGCTTCTTGGCTTCATGTACTTTGAATGTATATAGTTAGTGGTATGAGGTTCAAGATTGCTAATGTATTCTGACAAATTATTCTATTTACTTTTAAGCACAATTATTTTTGCCTGTATCAATGATTTTCTGATATCAATATATCTTTTTTAATATGTCATTTAACAACTAAATTAAAGTTTAAAAATTAAGGAATAACAATAATTTTCTATTTTAGTTTAGTTTTATTGTGAGGAGAGCCCTAGTGGTGCAGTGGTTAAGTGTTTGGCTGCTAACAAAAGGTTGGCAGTTTGAATCCACCAGCCTCTCCTCGGAAACCCCATAGCGCAGTTCTGCTTTGTCCTACAGGATCGCTATGAGTTGGAATTGACTTGACAGCAATGGGTTTGGTCTGAACATATATTGCAGAATATATGGTAAAAGAAGTATGAATTTGTAAGCAGGGTTACAATAGAATGTATATGAAAATAAAATTGTAACTATTAAAGTGCTTTTAAAGGATAAAAATACTTTACCAATACTAGATATCATTGGTTCTAAATTTGAGTTATTGTCCTTTGGTCAACAAAACCACAAACCCACATTGGTAATTACAGGAAATAGGAGCAAGTGGAGTTACCAATCTGCTAAAAAAAAAAAAAAAACTTAAAAAAATCCATTCCAAAAATGAAAAATTCTTACAATGACTGTGTAAATTCATACAGTAAGCCATTAAAGGGTAAATTAAAGAGAATTGACTAGAGAATCTCATTTTCTTTAGGTATATTTCTTTGATTTTTGTGAGGAAGTATTTAGGTGATTTTTGTCATTAGTGACTAATTATCTGTTC